AAATTTGTTTTGTTTCTTTCTTTTTTTTTTCTAAAGGGTTTTTTTATTTCATTAGTAATGATAAAAAAATAAGACAAATTGAAGAGACAGAATTAAATAATACTTAAACACAGAAGAAGAAACACATTGGTTCAATTAAAAAGAGTAAAATCACAAAAGTTTATTTGAAATAACTTTGTTTCCAAAACAATTTTGAGGTGATATTAAATAAATACTTATATTTGTTATGAAGTTATTAAAAGAACATTGAATAGTCATTATTTAATGATGAAAGATGTTAAAAAGGATTGTTCAAAGAGTTAAATATTTATAAACCTTAATTTTTAAGTCATTTGATATATGAAACAAACCACTTCTTCAAATAACTGTTTAATCAATACAAATTTGATTTCATTTTACATTAGTAAAACAATGTATTAATTTCCCTTTTTAGGAGGGACAGGAGCTTTCTTGAGTGGAACTTGATATTTCTTTCCATTTGCATCTACAAACGAAGTTGGAGTAATTGGTTTTGAAATTGGAGTGGAAGAAGTAGGTGAACCGCTATAATATGTTGAAACGGATAATGAGATTTTTGGTTGTGTTATTTGAGTTAAAGGTTGATTTTCTTCTTTAACAATGATTGTTTTTCTAGAGTCATTTGGATTTAAAGTTGCAGAAAATGTTCCTATTTTTGATGATCGAGTTAAGAAGATTGAACCTGTTGTTCCATTTAAGAAAACCGAAGATTTTCTCATTTCTTCAGATTCATCTTTTTGACGTTGTGAATCACTTTTTTCTGTTTCATAAAAAGATAAATATTGAAGAACCTTAGAAAATGAACTCCGTTGGAGAATTTCAGTATCTGATTTATGTTTATTAATAGAGATATCAACTTGTTCCCAACGACGAGTATTATCAAATTGATTTTCTAATTCATCACAGTCTTCTTCTAAGCAATCCATACATTGTCTATCAAAACTTTCTTTTTCAAAAAGAAAACAATCACAAGACTTACATCTCAAACATTCAGTATGAAATAATAAATTTTTTCCATATACACAAACTGCTCTATCCATATCTATCTTCTGACCACAACCACAACATTTTTGAGGTTCATTAGAAATATCTTTCATTTTTAAGAATGAAGGTTTTTTCTTTGACTTAAATAATGGACAATCAATGAAGATAGATCTTCTAAATTCAGGCATTACAGAAATATAATTAATTCTATGTTGAATAAAACGCTCAAACATTTGAGATTGATTAAATGCAGTTAAAAATACTTGTAATTCATTAGAACTTGATTTAATGAAATTTTTATCATTAAACACAAAACCAATACTTTGTTGTTCAAAGAAAGCAAAATACCTTCCAAAGAGATCAAGGAATAATTGACTAAAACAATTACAAATTAGACTATCAGGATGTTCAAATGTTGGATTATCAATAATACTTTTTAGTTGATTTAATAATCTACCAGTTTCTTTAAAGGCAAAGAGATTTAACCCACTCTTACGTTTTTGAAATTTAGAAGTTGAAACATTGTAAATATTAATGTCTAAAGTATTTGAATACAACTTGTTAATATTTATTAATCCTTGTTGGGTTGTTCCAAAAAGCATTGGTGTTGGACAACCAGCAAAACCAGCATAACTTTCTTCTATAGGTAACATAGGAATTAAAACACCTTGCCATTCAAAAGGAATTAAAATTTGTAAAAAGGCTTGAATAATTGGCATTCCTTGATCAATTGATTCTACCAAAAACATTGTATTTTCTTCAAGTAAAATCCTACCAACTAATTCAACAAAATCTGCAGGACCGAATTTTTTTAATATAGGAAAAATAGGAATTTCTGGATTATGAGAAATTATAGTAGACTCATTAATAACTAAATCAGACTCAGGATATTCACATTCTTTTAATTGATCAAAAAGGTCTATGAGGTGTGTTAACCCTTTTGTATCTAATACTTCTTTTAATACTGGAAGAAGACGAATATATAAAGAAGAATATCTCCCACTCACTAAAACTAATATCTTTGGTGTTTTATCATCACTCCATCGTTGAACATAATAATAATATCGTTTCCCATTTTCATCTGTTGAAACAAAGGAATGAATTAAAGATGGAATAGTTAAAAGATCTTCTTTCTTTACAATTTTTGGAACATCAGGATAAATAAAATACATTACATTTGCTATATTATTTCTACTTTCATCATTAATTCCACATTTAATATTAATATGCAATGGATCATTTTCAGATGATGTTACAGTTAAATAAAATGCTTGTAAAAGCAATTGATGTGGATATTTTGGTTCCAGATTAGTTGGACTTTCACTGAATTGTTTAATAGACATTCTATTTTTATTAGTTCTTCAACAAAGAAATTTTTCCTTTTTTTCTTTTAAAAATTTATTTTTTTACTAAAATTTCTTTTATTTCTTCTTCTATTTGTAAATAAAATATCTTAAAAAAATATAAATTATTGAAAGATTCTCTTAATTACGAGATTTTTTATTATCTCTTTTTTTAATCTCTTGAATTACTTTTTTCTTTTTTTCTTAACTTTTCTTATAAATAAGTATTAAATTTTTAATACTTCAGTGATGTTAATAAAAGTGATTTTGTTATTGAGACTATCTTAAACTTATAAAGTCTTTAGTTTATCATTTTCTCATTTTTATTTAACATTAAATTTGGTAATTTTTTTAAAAATAAGTTTTGTGGATATTAGTTAATAACTAAAAATTCACTTATGTAAATTAACTTTTTTGTTTTGAAAAATGGTGATTTGATTTGTTCAATTTTTATTCAAAAAATTATAGAAATTAATCAGAAATGAAGTTTTAATAAAGTTATTATTTTAAAAGTTTTTAATAAAAAGTATTGTAAATTAATATTTTATTGTTATTTACAATTCCAAATTAGTTATTAACAAACAATTAGTTATTAAATGAATAAATTCGAGTATTATCAATAATTCATTAAAATTTGATTTCTTTTATGAAAAAAAGAAAATAAATAATATGTTATTATTATAATTAAAAAAATAAAACTTTTATTTAAAAAAAAAATGGAAAAAGAAAGAAAACCAAAAAACAGAAAATGAATAAAATTAAGGTTTTTGTTTTATACACAAGAAAGAGCCATTAAAACAGAAAAGGCTCTAATTAATGAAAGTATTGAATATTTTGAGCATAAACACCAAAATTAAATGCTCTTTTAGAAAGAGTATTGTATTGAACTCTACAACGCTCTGAAGTATCTTCTTTTTCTCCTAATAACCTATAATATTTTTTTAATAAAGCAGCGTTATTATATAATAATGACTGTAATTGAAGAAACATTTGAATATATTGGGGTTTATCAATTTCAAAAGAGGAATTTTGTGAATGAACTGAAGGAGATAATTCAATAGAATTAACTACAGTTTTAGTACCACTTTCAGATGACTCACTTTTATTATCATTACTAGTTTTACTACGGATCCTAAAAGAAGCTCTTAACTTAAAATTTTTACCAGTTTCAATATTAGTACAATGATTAAAAGTGTCTAATAATATTTTTTTCCAATGTGGTTTAGTAAAAACACTAAAATGTTTTAAACAATTCCAATGTTCATTAACAAATTCATAAATATCTTGCTTCATTGAATAAAATTCTTTTTCTGGTTTTAGTTCTTTTAAGGATTTAAGAATAAGAATACAAAGGTCTGTAGTTTTTATTTTCTTTATACCATTTGTAAGAAGTACAACTCTTTTACATAAACAACAAGTGCAACAATACTGGGATTCAAACTTTCTTTCACAATTAAAATTAGAGGTTTGCATTGGAGACTTAAAATGTTTGAGTAACTTCAAGTTTAAATACCTTCTAGGTTTGCTATTTTTGTTTTACATTTTCATTTTTTGTTCTTTTCATAACCTTACCATTTACGAAATCTTTTTTACGTTTACTATGTCTTGTTTGTCATCACCAATTTGCCCTTTTTACTATTAGCTTAATTTTTTTTTATTATATTTTCTTCTGAATAGTTTTAATTCATTAGGATTAAATTTGAAACAACCTAATATAAGATGTTAAGAATCTTCTTCCTTAAAGAGAAACTAGAACTAATAATTTATATAGTATATATAATATAAACTAAAAGTGATATTAATATGAAACACACGACAGCTACAAACCCTTATGATTTTTGTAATGATGTTTTTAAATGTTCTCTATGTTAAATGTTCTCTATGAAGAAATGAAAAGAACAGAAAGACAAGAAATAAAATTGAATAAAATAATATGAAGTAAAAGTAAATAAATGAAAATGTTGAGAAAGAATAAAAGGGGATATAAGAATATAATTATTATCAAATCAATAAGAAAGGTTTGATATCCCCCGTTCTATCTATTTGTTTAAAGAACAAAAGATAGATTGGGTTGAATATTACACCAAATTACCTTAGTAATTTAAAGAGAACTAAAGAGTAATAATAGTATTTGGTGGTTGTTAAAACAATCACTCTTATAACACTTACCTTATCTCTTTTTTTTTAAAGGATTAATCATTAAAAAGTAAAGTAATCGTAATTACTAATACTTTATTAAAATTTAGGAGATTATTATTTTTGAGTTTAAATAGCCTATTCTTCTTCTTATTTTTTCTTTTTGATGACATTAGTTTTTTATTTTTAATAACTTTTATTATTCGTAATGGTTTTGAATAAAAAAAGAAGAATTAAGAAGAATGCATAAGAAAAATTTTTGTATTTTTATTGGTTTTTTTAAATAATCTCATTTGTTCTATTTTTAAATTTCATTTAATTCTTTTTCTACTGATTTTTTTATGTTGTTGAAGATTAAAATTTAAAAACAAAAAATCTTAAAATTTTAATTTTTTTGTTATTTATTTCAAAGAAAATAGAAAGATTAGAATCGAAGAATAGAAAGGTGTAGAATCTAGTCGAAGTTATGAGAGAAATGATATAAACAAATCAAGATCTCATTTAATTCACTTCATTAGTATGAGTAAATTAACTGTTGTTGCATCTCCACTTGCTCCAGAAGCTGTTGGTGCTTATTCTCAAGCTATTATTTGTAATGGTATGGTTTATTGTAGTGGACAAATTGGATTAGATAGAAAAACTGGTGATTTTGCTGGTAAAACTATTGAAGAACAATCTAAACAAGTTATGACAAATCTTAAGTATGTTCTTGAAGAAGCTGGTTCTTCTATGGACAAAGTCGTAAAGACTACCTGCCTTCTTGCTGATATTAAAGACTTTGGAGTCTTTAATGGTATTTATGCTGAAGCTTTTGGAAATCATAAGCCTGCTAGAGCTTGTTTCGCTGCAGCTGCTCTTCCAAAAGGTGCTTTAGTTGAAGTTGAATGCATTGCTACTCTCTAAATTACATTTCTTTCTTTTGTTTTGGTCTTTTTTATTAAAATAAGATATAACAAATAGTTTTACTTGTAAAGAATTATTTTCAACTAATCTAAATCCATCCAATCATGTTGTGTTGTTGTTTGGATAAACAACTCTTCTATTGATACTGCCATTTGGGAAACTTGTTTACAAAAGTGATATTCCAATTTACAAATACCTACTTCTAAAGCTGATTCATTTAACAATTTTAAAACATCAAATCCTTTGAACATACACACTATTAACAACTCTTTTATTCTAGTCAATGTTTGAATAAGAAAATCGTTGGAACAGAAGAGCTGAAGTAAAAAGATTCCATATAACTCAAATATTGGAAGACAACATAACGTTAATTTAAATTGTTCATTTGCATGAAGCACAAGATTGTTTAGGAAAAATATCAGTGATTGTAATTCTTTTATTGTAAAATAATGACTTTTTGCAATAATCGTTTGGATAATTTCAACTAACTCGGTATTGAAATCTAAATAATACATTGTCAAATTACCAAAAATAATTAAAAGTTGTGAAATATCATTTTCATTATGTTGTGGTCCATTTAATAATTCCTTAAGTAGTACAACCATTTTATTCACAGCTTCTTTAGAAATACATGTCTTTCCTAAATTTTCATTTAGCATTGATAATTCCGTAAAGAAATTTAGAATGGAATGAAATAAAAAATTGTTTTTAGTAAAGAGAAAATATGTAATCGTTGGTAATAGTTGTGATTTAGATAATAATGGTTTGCAATAAGGTTTTTGTGTAATTAGTAATGACAAACAATCAACAAAGGTGTTTGACAATGGTCGAGTATTTAGGAACAATGTAAGTATTTGGTGAAAATATTCATAAGGATAAATGGAATGTTCTATAATTCTTTTAAAGCAAGCAGCACAACTATCAACCGTAGAAGGGTATTGGTGGTATAACTGAATACAAGAGCACAAAGAAGAGAGAAGGTCTTGTACCTGAACCACAGACAATGAAGGAGCTAGTCCAAGTAAATTAGCTAAAAGCCATAGTGCTGTTAGACGAAGTTCATTATCAAATCTGGTAATAAATGGATTTATTATTGAGAAAATGTTATAACTAAAGATAATTTGTGAATCGAAATTCTCGAAAGAACTAATAGCCGTAAGTATCCATAATATAATTTCAAGAGCTTGATTGGAACTTTGTTTATTTTGTAATATTATCAATACAATTTGAGTCCCATTATTGTCTATAAATTCATTGTTCCAATTTCTTTTACTCTTCATTATTATTGTTCTCAGTTTCTTTAAATTTTCATCTACATCAATTCCTTTTTGTATTTTTAATAATAGTCCTTGAATACTTTCGTGGAGAATATTGATATTATTCCTTTGATTTAGTAATATCTCTTGTCTTCTTTGAGTCCTTAAAAGTTTAGTCATTTCATTTCTTGTTTGGCACAGTGAAGATAAGGAAGGTGCAACTCGAAAACTCATCTATTGGATAAAACAACTAAGTTCCATAAAAAGAGTATAATATATTTAGATACACTTTTTTTAACTTTTTAGGTACTTAGTCGTTTTTATTTTGTTCTTATTTTCGTTGTCTCTTTAGTTTTGTCATCAGCAATGTCATTAGTCTTTTTTTTTATCTAATATGGTTTGTTCTTACTTGTTTTTATTTGTTTCTTAATCAAATTAATTTGATAAATTAAAAATGGAAAGTCTCATTCCATTCTGGTTTTTCTTCTCATAAGATTTCTCTCTTCTTTCTACTCTTTCACTAGAAAGTGATGTCATGACTTTAATAAAATGATATGATAGAAAAGAGATGACAAAGTGAGATGAAAAGAGAATCTAAGATAGACCCTTATTCCAAGAAAGATTTCAGTTATTTATGTTAATGAATAAATCCCAAAAATCTAAAACACCAAAAAGAAAAATAACGTGGGACTTAGCAGCTCAATTAATTGAATATGCAACTGCTGCAGATCTCAAAATTATTGATGAACCGACTAACTTAAGAATATGTAACTTATTAAAAGCTAATAAGAATAAAGCTAAAGATTTATTGAATGTACTAAGAAAAAGAATGCTCAATAAAAGAGATAATGTTGTTTATTTGTCACTTGTTTTACTCCAACAAACAATTATTGAATGTCCAGAACTTATTGACTTATATTCAACAAGTGCATGGCAAGATTGTTTTATCACAACACTACTACGAACTAATGTATTAATTGAAACAAAGAAAAAACTCTTATCAATTATTCGTGGAATGACTGAGTCATTCCCAAATGACTTATTATTCAAAGATACTTATGAACAAATAATTCAACACGGTATTGATTTTCCTGAAGCTGCTCATTTTGGTTTGTTTTGTTTATTTTAATTTATTTAATAACAAACATAATAGTATAGACAAAGAAGTTACGTTTGTAACAAAAATATCTAAATCAAAGTTTATTGATGAGTGTGAACAGTTGATTGGGTATTGTCAATTCTTAAACCAGTCATTTGATTATTTAACTATTTTAGAAGTTTGATGTTTTGAATAGAATTTGTACATTAAGATACAAATGAAATTATTAATTATAATAGTTAGAACAATTGAAAGAAGACATGGAAATAAAAGAAATAATATTTAAGTTAGAAAAAGCTCAACCAATTATTATTTCTTTATTAAGAAAAAAAGATTTGTCAATGGATGTGATTCAATTAGTAAAAACAACTCATGAGCAAATTAAAACAACATTAGAACGTCATAAAAAATTAACAGAAAAGTGGGTACATTTAGCATGTACAGATAAGAAGATAGTAGAAAATACACAATTTATGTTTGAATCAAAGAAATTAAGATAAATTCAGATATTTATTTGTTTTATCATTATTTACTTTCTATGAAAAAAAGAAGAATAATAAACTTAAAAATATTAAATATGTCTGGTGATATAGACATCTTTGGAGATGATAGTTCTATTGATATTCCTATCACAAAAGAACAACACCAATTTAATGAAGCTATTGAGTCAATAACAGATAAAGATGGATATTTTCGTTTGTACTCTTTTTGGAAAAAAGATGAATTAGAAAGAAATAATAACTCATTGTAGTTGGAAGAAATGGAGAAGTTGTAAATGGGTATCAACTAGAAAAGAAGGTTGGACAAGGAACATTTGGAACTGTTTATTTAGCGAAAAAAATAACAACAACAACAAAAGAAGAAGAAGTTGCATTAAAAATTATTCGTAAAAATGAAAGAATGGTAAAGTTGTCACAAAAAGAGGCACAATTAGTAAAAGAAGTGATGTCACTAAAAGGAATTTATATTGTTCAGTTAATAACTGAATTTATGTATAAAGATCATTATTGCATTGTTCTTGAAAAAATGGATATGAGTTTGAGAGAATTATTATCACATAAACCAAATGAAGAAGGAATTGATATATTTCATATACAACGTTATGGAAAACAATTATTTGAAGCCCTTCATGTATTACATACAAAATGTGAAATATATCATTGTGATATTAAACCTGATAATATTTTAATTGATCTTCATTCAGATACAATTAAATTAGCAGATTTTGGTACAGCACTTCATCCATATGAATTAACTATTGATAGTGAATTAGGAAGTAGATATTATAGACCACCAGAAGTAATGGTTGGCTATCCATTTGATGGATCATTTGATAATTGGAGTAGTGGTGTAACACTATATGAATTATTTACACATTCATTTTTATTTACTGGGGAAAGTAATAATGACATGTTATATCAAATTATTCAACTTAAAGGTTCATTTCCTCAGAAAATGATTCGAGAAGGGAAATTTTCATCAAATCATTTTACACAAGACTTTAAATTCATTCATTATGAAACAGATGTGTTTGGAAAAGAACTTGCAAGAAGAATTTCTTATTCTCAACAACCTATTAGAATTTCATCAAAATTAATTCATTCATTAAAAGAAAGTAATGAACAATTATCATTAATATACATATTTGCACAATTACTAGAAAAACTCCTTGTCATTGATCCAACAAAACGATTTAATTCGATTCAGGCGATAAATCACACCTTCTTTACACAAACAAAGGAATAGTATAAGTAATAATATAATTTAATAGTTTTAATAGTTTATACCTAATAATAAAATCAATAATAAAAAGAAGTAACAAAAAAGAAAAGGAAAAAAAAAAAGAACTTCAAAAAGACATAGTTTTACATGTCAGGTGAAGAAATAAAAGTCTATACAATTGAAGAACTATTTAAATTAAGAGAAAATAAATTCAATTTTAATATAACATTAACGAAAAAAGTAAAAACTAAAAAGCTATCAAAGAAAAAAGGACAACAAGAAAGTACTTCTCCAGCAGAATTTTTTGTTTGTTTTTTGTTTTATTAAAAAAGAAATAATAAAATTAATTTAAATAGGAAAGATATCGATGGATTATGCATGAAGTTATTCTTATTGAAAAAGAAAAACAAACAAAAATGCATGGATCTTATTTATATTCCTTGTTTTTACAAGGAAAATTAAATTTACATGAATGTACCGTTAAATCTCAAGATCCAACTATTCCATTTATTTTACAATTAAAGAAATATATTGACATTTATAAGAAAATATTAGATATTGATAAAGCAAAGGAAGAAGAGAAATTAAGTTTGTTCATTTTATTGTTATTCATCAACTTAATTCTATTCTATTAATTCTTTTAAATCATTAATTAAATTATAGAACAAAAAATGGAAGAAATGAATAAACCAAAGGCAGCTGAACCAATCTATAAAGAACAAACAAATGAAGAATTATTCGACCCATTAGCAGGATTAGATGAATAAAGAAGATAATTATTAAACTAGTTTAAAGTTGTTGCTTTTTTATTCAGAAGGAAAGAAGAGGTATTCAATTAAATAAAAAATTACATTAATAAAAAGATAAATGGATTGAAAATAAATAATTATTAAAATTATAAAGAAAGGTCATTTTCTTCATTTATATAAGCATTTAATATTTCTTGAATTAACGAAATGACTCTCGGGATTTTTATAGATTTCTTTTTAACTTCTAATAAAGAAGAATAAATTTGAGACGTATCTAAAATAGAAACAATAGATAATCCATCATCTGATCTTTTAACTAATACTCTTCTTAAAATTAATAAACTAAGATTTAATTGTTTCTTTGTTGTTTCATTAATACAATTACGAAGAGCAATAAAAAATGTAAAATCATTATAATATTTTATTAATTCATCATCACCACATGCAATAAAGAAATTAATAAATGCTTTTATTGCTTCATTAGCAACAATTCCATTACTACAATTTACTAATGAATTAATAATTATTTTCATTGCATTAGTTTCATCTAAAAGAGAACAGTATTTAGTTCCATAAATTTTATCAACACATAAATTTTCAATTGCATAAAAACAAGCTTTTTGAAGTTTTAAATCATTATATAAAATAGCTTTTTGAGTAAGCCATTGAATTATTTCATTTTCATATAAAAAAGGAAAAATAATACTTTCAGAGTCTTTATACGATACAGCTCCAAGAATTATAACAAAAGAACAAGCATATTCTTTAAATAATTCATTTGAAGAAATAGAAGTAATAATTTTCCAAAGTTTAATAATAATATCTTTCATTTCATCCATAGAAATTAATTCATCTCTATCAAAATAATATCTAAATCCTATAAAACATGTATAAATAATTTGTTCATCATTTGATAATAATAATTTTTTAAAAATATTAATTACTATTTGTACAATTGAAAATGATATTAAAGGCTCACTACAAATAAGACTTCCAAGACAATCTGTACACGCTCGTATTATTTCTATTGACTTGGACGTTTCTAATGTTTTTGAAATAAATCCTTTAAATCGTTCAAAACAATTATCTCTTAATTCTCCACCATCTGAAATAATATTATTTAATAATATTATCCCTTTTCTTTGAATTTCTTCATTTGGAGAATAATAAAGTATTTGCTCAAGAAGTACAATAAAATTAGTTGACCCTAAATTTTTTGTATATGTTGAGTCTAGTGCTGTCCAATTTATTAACACAGTTAATGTTTGTTGAACAATATTCTTATTTGGATGTGTTAATAAAATAAGTAAATCCTGAAGAACTGGAAGTGGATTACTATGACAAAAAACAAAAAGAGCATCAAGTATTGCTTTTTCGTTATTTTTTCTTTCAACAGCTTGAATTGCTGCTTGTTTTTGTTTTTCATTAAATCGATAAATCTTCTTTTTTCTATCAACTGCACTTTCTTCAATTTCAGAAACAGTTAATCCTATTTGATCATCTTCAATAGTTCTTTTTAATGATAGTAAATTTTCCCTTTTCTTTTGTCTTAATGAAGATTGTGCTATTTCTCGATTTTTAAATGCTTGTTTAGCTGGGTTTTCTCTTATATTAGACATCTTTTTGTTATTTAATGAAATTGAAGTTTCTCTTTTTTTGTATTTATTTTATTTTTTGTTTTATATAACTACAAATATCAATCTTCTTATTTTATTCGTTTTTAAGAGAAAATCTTGTATAATACTCATTTTACATTTTCTTTTTCATAGAAGATAAGTAGATATGAAAGATGACTTAAAAGAAGAAAAGAAACAATAAAAATAACATACATTATAATAAATTGTTATAAAAAATAAAGTTTAATAATACAAAATTAATGATGGTCATCAGTCCTTTGATTGTCATCAAAACCTTGGTATCTTCTAACAAAGTCATTTTGTTGAGTTTGTTGTTGTGGGAATTGATTCATTTGAAGTAACACTGGAAGAAACATTTCTATTTGGTCTAATCTATTTTTAAGATCAGACCATCTAACTAAATTGTTTTGTATTTCATGACGAACTTCTAATAAATCTTTTTCAATTCGAGTCATATCCATTCTTAAAGAGAACATTTTACAAACGTCATTATTTTCATTAGACTGATGTAATGAATTAGGGATAACTAATTTTTTATTTTTTTTTCTTTTAATTTTATCTAAAAATTCAGGTGTATCACGAATAAAAAATTCGTGTTTAAAACAAATACCCGTTTTATATTCTAACTAATCAGTTAGTGAATTCATTCATTTAAAAACAAAACACAATTAATACAAACTTTATGAAACCCATAAATATTTAATTGACGAACAAAAGACGAAATGTTAGAATGTTTGAAATGATACGGTAATACCTCTTTTGCAAACTGAACAGGATCTGTTATAATAAATGCTTTCCCTTTATGTTCTTCACTCCAATGGATTAATGAATGATATTCAGGTGTATTAATAAGTGAATATAATTTACTAATAAATGGTGTACAATTATGTAATACATCAAATGCCATTGTTGGTTGTTTATCCTCATATTTATCTTCTTCTTTTTTTATTTCAAACGTTTTATCTATTGGTAATTTAGTTGAGTTAGAAACATATAGTGTATTAGATACTTCTATTTTTGAATCAATGGGTTGTGTAAATGGGTTATGTGTTTCATTACATTTAGATAACTGAATGAAATTGTCATAGTCTGTCATATCTTCTTTTTGTATTTGAAAATTTAGTTTTGATAGTTCTTATAAATAGTATAAGTACTATTAATTATATTTTTATTTATTTTGAGTAATTGTCTTTATTATTATCAAAGAAAAAAAAAAGATAAAACAACTTTTCTTGTAGTGTAATGTATTTTGTTTTAAGACTTTATTTTCTTTAATGACATAAAAAAATATTTTAACAAACATGAGAAAATATTAGAAAAATGTGGGATAAAAAGGATGTAAAAAATAAAAAAGATTCATTAGAATGAAGAAAAAAATATAAAAAAAAAAGAAAAAGCAAGAACTAGATAAGTTGAGCTGTCGTTGAGGATGTTCAAGAAGACGAAATTAATCAATATTGTACGTAATGAGACAGCTGATAAAGTAAAAGAATATCTTAATAAGAAAAAAGTAGATAAAAAAACGTTTGAAAAATTTAAAACGAAAGAGGAGAATCCGTTATATGTTTCTATGATTATCAGAAAAGATTTTGATATGTCACAAGAATTAATCAAAGTGATGATTAAAGTAAAAGCTGATATCAATAAATATGATGAAGCTGAACAAACAATATTACATTATGTATGTAATACATTTACTTCTGATGCTTCTTTTATTATGGCATTATTACAATTTCCAGGAATAAATGTTAATGCAAAAAATAGAGATGAACAAACTCCTTTACATATTTTTTGTAATCATTTTGCTAATGTTCAATCATACAAAACAGTTTTACAAAAATTTGTTGAATTACATGCTGAAATTGATGCTACAAATTCATATCTTGAAACACCTCTTATTAAAACTGTTAAAAATCAAAAACTTAGAGGTCTTATTGTTCAATTTCTCATTGACAATGGAGCAAATATTAATGTTGCTAATAAAGCAAAAAATACTGCATTACATTTTGTTGTTGTTTTAAATAGAGTAGATTTAATTAATATATTAGTTAAAGGAGGTGCTGATATTTATTGTTTAAATAATAAAAATGAATCTCCACTTAGTCTTGCTAAAGAAAAAGGTTCAATGGCAGTTATTACTAAATTATATGAAGTTCATAATTTACTTCAATGGCTTTCATCTATTTCAAATGACTTTGTTGCTTTATATGCAAGAAAATTTCTTCAACAAGAACTTCATCCAAAATTACTTAAATCATTAAGTGATGAAGAATTAACTGATGTATTAGAAGTTATTGTAGAAGAAGAAAAACATATAACTATTTTAAAAGATTCATTACGTAAATTTGAATTAATTCTTCCAGAAGAAAAAGAAATTAAAGCAGTTGTTGTAACTACACCTGAAAGAAAACCAATGCTTTCAGCATCTAAACGATCATCACTTCCAGCTAATGTAGATTCATGGACTATTGGATCAAACCAAATTGAATTTACAGGAGAGACAAAACCATCACGATCAAATAAAGTTGGAACAGGGTCAACATGTAGTGTTTATAGAGGTATTTATAAAAAAATTAATAGTGAAGGAGGAACAACAGATTTTGATGTTGCAGTCAAAGTAATGGATGAAGGTATTGATTTAGGAGAAAATAGTGAATTTCTTCATGAATTTGAAATACAAAAAACTATTGCCCATAAGAATATTGTAAAATTCTTTGGAATTGTTATAGATGATACAATATCAATTGTTATGGAATTTTGTTCTCATTTCTCATTATTTGATGTTCTTAATGATCCTAATCAACAAGTTGATTTTCCTACTGCATTAAATTTTTGTGAACAAATGAGTGTTGGATTAGGAGTATTACATAATAACAAACCATCTATTCTTCATCGTGACTTTAAATCATTAAATGTTCTTGTAACAAATGATTATACGTTAAAAATTAGTGATTTTGGAATGAGTCGATTTGACACTACAGAAAATCGAGAAAAAGATTTAAAAGAATTATCTGGAACAATACCATATTGTTCTCCAGAAATTATTCCAAGTGATGGACATCAAGGATTATATACTACAAAAAGTGATATTTATTCTCTTGGAATAGTTTTTTGGGAAATTTTTAGGAGAGTTGTTTTTGGGTCATACACAAAACCTTGGTTTAAAGAATATAATATTCCTGCAGCAAATGACTTTGCTATTTTAAATTTAATTAGTGAAGGTAAACGACCTACTCTTGAAATCAAGGAATATAATGAAGCTTGTAAAAATTATGTACCACCATCAGTACATCAACTGTATTATAGTTGTGTAGATGAAGAACCTGATAAAAGACCTAATGCAGAAGAACTTATTAAAATGATTGAATCAATGAAACAGGAATATATACATAACAATACTATTTGGAATAAATATTATGTTCCTGTTGGATATAAGAAAATGTAATATACAATTTGCTTTTCTTTTTTACTATTCAATTTTGATGTTTTGATTTACCAAAAAAAAAAATAAAAAAATAAAAATAAAAAGAATAAAAATCAAGAAAATCAACATTATGTTATTGATACTCCTTTTTATTACATTCACATTCTCTGTTAATATACCTAGAAATCCTAAAAGTCTTTATGACTTACAAGCATTTGAAGAAAAAGATGATAAAATGTCAGAAATGTATAGTTTAGATCGACAAGTTCAAATATTACAAATTAAAGTAAAAGAAGTTGAGCTAGAAATTTTATCATTGAAAGATGAATTGAAAGAACAAATAAATGCATCAACAAAAAATGCAGCTCAATTAAGATTAAACTTTTTACAAAAAGAACTTGCTTTATTAAAGAAAGGTTTACATGAAAATGCACAAGATGCAATTAAATTTTATGGGAAAATGGGAGGAAAAATTCAAACAGAATACAATGGAATTTATAACTACCAAAAAAGAATTGCTGAATTAAGAAGTCTTTAATTCATGTTTCTTAGATAATGAAAGAGAATTACAACTTTAGAACAAAAATAATTTGAATTAGAAAGTTCCAAATGATGATTTATTGTGTTTATTTTGATATTTCTTATATCCAATATATCCAACAAATAATCCAATAACAAGTAATATAACAACTAAGAAAAGAACAGCAACAATAATTCCAAAGATTTCACCTCCACTTAATCCATCTTCTTCATTATCTAATTCACCTTCATAATAATCAAATTTAACTCTCATCATACCACTATCACTATATGTAGCACCTCCTACAAAAATATAATATGTTTGTCCTTTTTCTAATTTAGTAGTTAATATCGTACCATGTTGCCCTACTGGTGATTTATAAAAATTAGTTCCTTTATAACAATCACCTGGTACAGATAAATCAGTAAGCATTTCACAAGAAGTATAAACACCAATTTGAGTATTAAAAGTAGTAACATCATCAGTTTGTATTAATACTTTTTCTGTTTCTTTTGGAGTATATACAAACCATTTTCCTTTTAATCCATCAGCAACAACTCCACACTTACTTCTTGATGAATGTGCCTTTTCTGTATATGAATAATAAGTACTTGGAATAGTAATTGTCTCAGCATTACTACATTTAGAACTTTCTTCAGCAATATTTTCATAAATATTAACTCTAGTAACTGTTTTTTCTACTGAAACATCTGGGTTAATACCAACAAGTGCATATTTACTACCTTTACCAGAAGAAGTAACCGTAGTACCATATCCACATTCATTTATATCATTTGTATTATAACATTCTCTATTTCCATTATTTTGAGTAAATAAAACTTCAATCATAGTACTTGTTACTGTCTCACTTCCACAAGTTGATACAACATAAGTAGTATCTTCTGGTTGTTCATATTTAAGAATTATTGCTGGGAATGAATGTAAATTAGGGAATCTAAGATGAGAACATTGAACAGGTAGTTGAGTTCCAATACCAAAAATACCTGAATAAGGAACTGTTACTTCATACGCTTTATCAAATGTCGTTCCTTTAGTATCTCTTTTTACAGCCCAATACATAAAAGTACCAAACTCATTACCACTTCCTTCTCGAAGAATAGTTGTAGCAAATACAAATAAACTTTCTCCCTTTTTAATGGTTTCAACAGAAGTAGCATATAAGTCAAAAGTAGATTTAATACATTCTGAACACCCTTTTAGAGTAGCAAGATATCCAGTATATTGTTCTGGTTTAAAAGTATAAACTCCATGCATAATATTCATATCTTCAGTTTCAGCTTTTAATTCATACCATCCTCCTTTAAGATTCTTTTTATTGTCTTTACAATCAAATACAGTATAACTTTCTTGATTACTTCCAATAAGGTATTGAGTGAATTGATCTCCTTCTGTTGTTATATTTAAAAGTCTGGCATGTTCACAAAGATAATTATCTTTAAAATCAATTTGCATTACCCCAACATTAACTTTACATTGTGGATTAGTACAAACTACTCTAAATCTATACAATTGATTTGCTTCAAGGAAGACATTAATTAATGCATCATTACCACACGTATTAGAACTAACTTCAGCACAATTGTCACATCCATTTGAATAAAGTTCAAGTGACGTATGATCAGATCCTGAACTTTGAGTGAAACAAGTATGAATAGCATATCTCCTACCATCTCCTCTAACACTAAAGTACATTCCAGTTTGTTGAGTATTGAGAGAACAAGGTGAGGTACTTTTAGTATATCCAGACATATCCATAATTATATTAAATGGTTTTTTGGAAATTGAAAATGAATTAGTACATTTGTAATTATCTCCACCATTTGTTCTGAATGTAACTTCAAATGACCCAGAAACAGGTGATTTTGATGTGTCTCCAGTAAAATGTACAAATACATAATATTCCTCTCCAACAATAAATTTGTCATAGTATAAACGTGCGAATGAACCACATCCTTCTGTAGCTTCTGCAATTGGTGCATCACCCATACAACCATTTGAAGTAGTTACTTTTTTATAAAGATAAATTGTTGTTGGATATTGAGTATTTTTATTACATGTATCAATAACATGAGTATTTTGTGTAGCATTGAATTTAAACCACATACCTCTCAAAAGTCCATGATAATTTCCACTATAGGTTAAACTAGATAAAATAGTTGCATCAACAGTTTGTGGGAAACTATTAATTTTTAATGCATTAGAACACGTAGTACTAGTAGGATTAATATATTCTTTTATAGTTAATCTAAATGATCCACTGTCAAGATTCGTTACTCCAGAAACAATAATAAAATAACTTTGAGATGCTTTTACATTTACAATCAATTTAGATCTATGTCCATCACAAAGTCCATTAGGGTCTCCATCATTAGCTCCAACACAAGAAGAAGTTACATCGTCAATACAAGAACTTCCAATAATAATTCTTGTTGCAAAATTTGTTTGTGCATAACATGTAGATACTTCAATCATTTTGTTAGAAGAAGGTGTATATTGAAATATTACTGACTTGTCTTCATGTACTTCAGAGTCAACTTGTTGACAACTCCATTTATTGGTTTCTCCTTTGTAACTCAAATTAATTACATCATCAAAATTTTCTTGAATTGTAATAGGTTTTTGGCAACTTGAAGCATAAAGGCTAACAATAAATAAAAACAGAACAACCATTTTAAAGTCGTTTATTCAACTTTTTAATTAACAGTTCCTTTTTATTCTAAAACTCTTTTTCTTTTTTTTTTACGTTGAATTTTCTTGTTATACTTACAATTTTCATTATAAACCATTTCTTCTTATTATTTTATTACAAAAATACTTTCTCGATTTTATTTTGTATCTTCTTGTTAAAATCAGAAATTTCAAATTGATTATTCTTTCATAGAAAACTCTTTTATTTTAATTTTCCCTTTTCTTCTTTCTTTTATACTTCTTCCTTTTTCAGCATAACCTTTTATAATGAAAACAGAAATAATTCTTTCAAAACTACTTCATTGCAATATGAATGAAAATATTAAAATAACCATTCAAAAGACTGTTAATACTATTAACTTTTTCGTATTTACTTAAAACTATATTATTTCTAAAAATAAATAGTTGAAACCCCAATATAAATATAATAAATTCATTTTTTATTTCTAATATATTCTAAAACATCAAAAAAATTTTCATTTGTTAGATAAGAACGAAAACAAATAACAATAAGGAATAATTTATTATTTGAATCAAGATATATTATAATATACCAAAAGAAGTTCACTGTCTAATTATGTCTTCTTAATAGTTTTATTAAAAAAACAATGAAGCAAAAGAATCACCGATAATAAAGATTTTTTTTGATAATAACAATATCTATAATTAAGATTAATACATTTATTTTTAATAATATATATTTCATTTGTTTATCAACTCATAATAAGTTAAATAAAAAATAACAATGTTTGAATGAAAATAAATTATGGATATTATGTCTATTAATATTTTATTTATTATATAATTTTCTACAAAAAAAATTATTCATTTCTTCAATATATTGAATAACTATTCACTTAAAATTATTTTCAATGAATTTTATTTTTCTAAAAATTCTCTTCTGAAATGTTTTATTAATGGATATTTATTTATGTTTTATGGTTTTAGTTTTTAGTATGCCGAAAATAATGATTAATATATTATGTTGTGCCATTGTAATTAACTGAAAGAATGTATTGTACAATGAAAAATCAAAATAAATAAATCACACCTCTTTTTGATGATAATATCTATAATGATATAACTCAAAGATATGAAATACATATTGTTTAAATATGAAATATTATATCATTCCATTATGAATGAAAATTAATACAAATAATACAAAATAATTCTTATTTTATTAATATAATTAGAATAATTAATAGTAAAAAAAATTAATTTCTTGAATAAGATAAGAAAATTGAAAAAAAAAATTAAATGCTACGGTTATGAATTGAATTATGTTAATTGTTAAATAATTTAACTGTGCAAATAAGTACTTCTTAATGACATACTTGACAGTTAATAAAAAATGTAAAATGCCAAGTGCTTAAGTAAATATATTTATTTCATGTGATATGTATTACAAAAATGAATAACCAAGAATCTAGAGATTTTTCAAAATAGAAGAACATGAGATAATAAAATATTTATGACTAAATAATATAAACATACAATTATTTCAATAACTATAATTGATACATCGAATAACTCATTGTCAAATGTTGTAAATTCTTTAATAAAAATAAATCAAAAAAATTAATATATATTAATACTTCTTTTTAAATGTTATCAATTAATAAAGTTGAATCATTCATAAACACTGAACGATATTTAAGTTATAAAAATAATAACTAAATAAAAGTTAGCTCATATATTCATATAACAAATCAATTAAATAGTTAAGAAATAAATGAAATATAAAAAACCTGAAAAAGAATTTTAAGTAACATAAATAATAAAGTTATTACACATAATACTGAACTAACTAGTTTAACATAAAACAAACTTATTTAAGACGAGTAGTATTAATCTGTATTACCATTTATTTTGATTTATCTATTCAATAAAAAAATAAAATAAGTAATTTTTATTTAAGAAAAGAAAACCAGAAAATTAAAATAATGAAAAAACAAAACATAAAAAAATTTAACAAAAATAAAATTGTTTTTCATTCAAGATTGTTATTTATCACTTTTTCTTATTTAATTCTGAACCATCATTGTATCTTCTTCTCTTAAATATTCTCCTAATTCTCCTTGATTATAACAGACAATCCCTGTTGCACTTATTCGAGAATATTCAACTGAAGAACATGCTGTTGTTCCAAATCCATTTGCAATATCATTTTCATTAAACATAACACATCCTATGTTTCTTGCCATGTTGTCTGTTATTTTACTTATTCCGTTTTTGACTAAATGATTTCCATATAAAAATGATGTTTCTGCTTCTGGTTTTACCCATATTTTACATGAACATTATTGTGCTAAATATGGTAATGCAGTTATGTGAAGTTTAAATTTCCCTGTTTTAGTGAATTTCCCAAAACATGTGCCAAGTGATAATAAATTCTCTCTTCCAATTGTGGTAGCTTGTTCTGCAATACTAAGTCTCACATAATAAACTCTATCCTTTTGTAATCTAAAACAATACTCTTCATTTTCGTTGTCTATTAAAAATCGAATGTTTCTGCCAATGTACTTCGCTAGTTTCTCAAAAAAATGATTTTGTTTCTTCATCAGTTAAAGGTCTCATTCCTCACTTCTCTCTTTTGCTTTTCAGTTGTTTTTATTTCTGTTGTTTTTTTAAAGGGGTTTTTCTTCTTTTTTTTCTTCCTTCTATTTCTTGTTTTTTCTTTTTTTGTAATTTATCCCACAATTTTCTTTCTTGTCTTTCTTTTCATCTCATTTCTTGTGATATATCCTATGATGAACATTCTAACCATTTGTTTGCATTAAACTCTACACCACTAATACTCTTTATTGAATCAATTCAAATACTCACCTCTCAATTTGAAGTAAATCGAATTGTGGATATTCTATTAATTGACTTTTTCACACAAAATTAAAATAAATTTAATGTTTTTTGAAATTCTTCATAAAATGAACCAAAAAATTACCTAAAAAATATGAATAGATTCAAAATTAGTGGCACACGTCTTGAACAAATCCATATTCTTTAAATCCCATGTCGGATTGATGATCGATTTGTAAGTATTCTTCATTATTTTCATATCTATTCATATCAACGCATGACTCAGATTCATTATTTTGTGTAATAACTCCATTTTTACTTAAACATTCAAACTGAGAAAGCATTTCCCTAAAATTAGCAGGAAGTGCTACACTTATTTTAACTGATAACAAACTACAATTAGCCACTGTACTTTGATACTCAAATAAAGGAGAACCTATATCGTTATATAATAGGTTATCTTCCATTGAGCTACTAATGTTAGTAGGAGATTGTGGTTGTTGAATTTCAACATCTTCATTTAATTGTTGAGATGATGAACTAACTTGGTTATCAAGACATTTGAATTTACTTTCATCAATAGCTTGATCCAAGAACTTTTCTTTTGAAAGCAAAAGAATGTTTCCATATGATGTTTCATTTAAACAATCTTTGTCCCCAATAAAAACACTTTCATACTTTGTTTGAGAGTCTTTTTCTTTTTTTGTTTGAGAGTATTTTTCTTTTTCAGAACTTTTTTCTTTTTTGAGATATTGACACAAAAAGTCATATACTTGAATTCCTGTTGTATTTAATACTTCTATTTTATTAAATATACCAATACATTTCCCATCTTTCTTTACTAATGGAAGTTTTGTATATTGTTGACTACTAATTGTATTTTTTGATACTTTTGTGTGTGCCAAACTATTATCATTCCCAAGTTCATTGTATTTAAGATAACATTCATTAATGATGTTCATAACAACAAGTTCATTGTAAACTAATTTCTTCTTATTTTGTTTTCCACTTTTCTCAGTTACTTCTTTCTTTATTGGAATTCCTTCTTTATCAAATTTTAATTTGGCTTCTTTCCCTTCTTGAACTACTTCATACTCAAACTCTTTATCCAATATTATTACCTTATTTTCGTTCCATATCTTTTGAATAGGGAAGAAGTGGTGTAACTTTTCCGCTCTTCTTTGTTCTTTTGAAATAAGAAATGACCATCCTTTTGTTATCAAGTAGTAACACCCAGCTAATATATACATTCTTCTTGTATTTGTCGAATTCATTTTAGTTTCAGCGGGGGATATTTCCTTTGGAGTTGTTGTAACTTTATCTATTCTTTTTGCCATATCTTTAATGAAAAGATAGTTATCATCTAGGTTAAATAAATAACTGTAACTAAAAATAAACTAAAATTCTAATGATTTTTAGATTTTAAATAGTTATTCCTCAAATAATGATTTTTCTTTGAATTTTTTAATTACGCTTTCATAATTAAATAAGAAGTTTATTTTATTATTTATATTCTTTTTAAACTATGAATTAATTAATTTAATTTATACTTAAAAATTCAAAAATTATTTTTATAATTATTTTTTTTTCTTTTGTAGAATAAATTCAACTCTGCCAATTTTATAAATAGTGAAAAACATAACTCTTTGACATAATTTCATTTCTTTTATACTTGTTTACTTTCTAACTTTAATATAAATCAAAAAATAAAAACCTGAAGGAGGAAGAATTTACTTTGGTTGATTAATTTTTATATTATATTGTGTTATAACATTTTATATTTAACATCATTTATTTTATTTTAGTGAACGGCACATTCTCTTAAAAGTTAAGTAGATAATTATTTATTTTTATATATCAGAATGATAAAGATATATCAGAAAAGAGTATTATAGTTTGTATAGGTTTATTATTTTTTTGAAATTCTGATGTTATTTATTTGTCTTGTACAAAATTGAAATATCGAAGGTAACATGTCTGAAACACTACACACAAACATTAATATAATTCAAACTTCAATTTTAATGGTAATTATCTGATTATGACAGTGTATTTGAATTAGGAATGTATTAGGGAATACTGCAAAGGGTGTAGCAAGATATTATGATAGAATATTACATGGTGTAATATAAGAATCTACTAAAGTGTGGGTAAGACTAAAAGAAAATTAAACATAATAATATAGTGGGAATGAAATACTCTCTTCTCTCATTCATAAAATAAAGAAAAAAGGAAAAAGAAAATGTTTAAAATTAAGACAGAAAATAAACAAAAGGTTAAAAAGAAGAAATAAGCAGAAGAAGGATGAGAAGACATTAAAAGGAAAAATAAAACAAAGAAGTGCTTTCCTCATTTTGCAAGAAAAAACATAAATGATAGGTTAAACAAAAAGATTACTTTTTTTTAAAACAGCTCAGGGATTAATCTCCTCTAAACTAGGAAGAATATATGAAAAATCTATTAATACTTAATTAACTTATTTTTATTTTCTTGAAAAAATGGGTATTTTAAAAACTGAAATTGAATTATTACACTATTAATAATAAAAACATAATATTGAATAAAATATAATAGTCTATAAAATAATAGTCATTTTATTAATAGTTATATTCGTACAGTGGTAATACATTCCTGTTTATTATATTATTTTATTTTTAAATAAAAAACTAATAACAATCACCCCATTATTATATTGAACTAATTAGTGGTACTTCACCATTATTTATACATTCATAACATTTATTTTCTCATTTCTGAAAGTTCTATTTAATTGTATATTTATTGAAACAATATTTATACAATGATATTTTGCTTTAGTTCATTGAAAATTATTTGAACATTTCATTGTTTTTAATTAATATTTATAATAGAAAATCTTGTCAATTAAAAATGCATTTACTTTGTTTATAAGACAATAGCAAACACTGCCTAATTGATTTGTTGCATTATATTATTCAATAAATGATAGAAATAAAACTTTTTTTAGTTTTATCAATCAATTCTTTTATATTAAATGAGTGTATTATGTTATTTTGTTCTTTACTTGTGTATTAAATAAGTATTACGTTAAACTTTTAATATTTTTTTCAATTGGGATTATGTTTATTTTAATATTCTCTATTTGAAGATTATATTATTGAAGATATTGGAGATACATTCTACGCTAAGTACTGACATTAATCTAGAAATTGAAAGACTATTTTCATTAATATATAGTACAAATGAAATAAACTGGTTAGTTAACAATATTTTTTATTGTGTAGAATATTTAAGTCAACATAGTTTATCAAAAAATATTACCAAAACAAATATCTTTTATTCATTTTACCATTAAAAAATTACTGAAAAGATATTACAATTGACAACTCTCATATGATATTCTAGTTTTTTTATTATCAACTAAAAATTGTATATAAAATGCAAAAAGAGAAATTATCTATAAGAAAATTCAAAAAATACAATTCTAAATATTATTGTGATGGTTTTCAAAAAGAGTTATTACATTCAATCACTCCATGAAATGAAAATAAATTTAATCATTATCTATTTAATCATCTACTACATTAATGATAGTTATGAATCTAGTTATTACAAAACATCCTCTATACTACAAGTCTAAATTTATTATTCAGAGAATAATGATAATAAATAAAGAATAAAACTATGAAAGAGTGTTTCAATCATTTAAACAATAATATAAATAAAATAAAGTATTTCAACATTATGAAATTTAATTCATGAAACTAATAAAAAAATATATTCAATTAGTCAACACAAAAGATGAGTATTACTTCTCTTATAAACTAATTAATTTATATTATTAATGTAATATATTGAAAAGAGTCATCAACAAATAATAAGTTAAATGAAATGATAATATAGAATATAATTTAAATGTTATGATACTTCTAGTTAAAGAATGTGGATTGATTGGTAACATATTTATATGTATGTAGGACATGTTGTTCATTACAAAAAGACAGCCAAATTATAATTTAAAATTATTATTATAGTACTTTAACAAATTTTATTTCAAGTGAATAAATGTTATCATATTTAAAACAATAAAAATAAGTTGATTTTAAACATCAATTAAAATAAAAGAACATACCATGATTTAAAAACAAATTGGTAGAGACATATTAAAATAACTTTAGAGTGTTCCAAAAACATTTGGTTGTCCTGAATAATTCCCATTAAATTCTCCAAATGGAGTGTATTCTTGTGGTAATTGTTGACTATTTTGAGTAATAATTGGTTGGAATGTGTATTGTTGAGGAAACATTGATTGAATAACTGAACATATTTCAAATAATGTATTACTTTGTTCTATGTCCAATCCTCCAAGAACATTCATTAAATGAACTTGTAAAGTACTATATTCTATACCTGCCATTTTCTCACAAATAGCTTGAATTCCTGCTTCAATTGTAGTAATTTTTGTTTCTTCTCTTCGAGTTAAACTACTAAGACGTTCAAGAAGAATTGTATTTGAAGATAATAATGCTAATTCAAAAACCTTTCTTTGTGTTGCAGAATTTGGAATTGGAAGGTCATTCTTTTTAGGTTTTGTTGCTTCAATTTGTTGATGTACTAAAGATTTATTAATTATTTGACGAGACTTCTTTGTTCCATCAATTTTTGAGGTACAACGAATTGGATATGAAATTACTTCTCCAACAACAACTCCATTATTATAAACATTTGCTCGAATTTTAAATAACATATCTTCATGTTTACTTGATAAAACATTTAATTTACATTCAATGTTAATAGCTTCATTAGAAACTTGTTGAACTTTATATGAAATTGGTTTTTGTGATACATAAGGAACAGGTTTTAATTCTGGAATATCATATAATAATTCACATGTCACCTCTGCATTTTCTATTGGTTCAACACTCGTTAAACATAACATAAAATTTGTTTGTTTTACAACAACATAAACTTCATTTTTACCTACCTTTTCATTCATAACACATGTTTGTCTTTCTAAAAACACCTTTCCCATCCTATTTTCTTCACTTGCTTTTCACTTAACTAAGATCACTTTTTTTTTAAAAGGGGTTTTTTTATTTTTAACTTTCGTATTTTACTTTTCTTTTGATTTTTTGATTATTTATTATATTTTATTATACTTATTTTATTTTTTATTAGAATATTTCTTTTTAAGTTCATTGAAACTTTGAAGAAGTAATTCTTGTACTTCTATTAATAAATTCGTTGCTATTTTTTTCTATCTTTTTTATTGTGTTTTTTCGGAAGATCTTATATTTTCATTGGTTTACTAAAGAATTTAAATAAACACCATTTCGTATAACTTTAAATTCTCAGTTTAAGTAAAAATACATCAATAGTTCAAATTTAAATATAGACAATACTCAAAGTAATAATAGATATTTTATTAATTATAATTTTTAAGAACAAAAAACATATTATTAAATTTTTGTAATAAATAACGAAAATAAAAACAAATTTAAAACCCTAAAAAAAAAAAAAAAAAAATATGAAAGAAAACAGATGGAGGATTTACTTCACGATTATTTAATTGTTGATACAAATATTTTTCTTCGTGATACTGGAGCAAAACTAAATCGATTTGCACATCATATTGTTACAGTTGAAGATGTAATTAAAGAAGTAAAGGATGAAGTATCACGACACAGACTAGAAACCCTACCATATGACTTAGAATTATCTGAACCTAAACAAGAAGACATTGACTACACTGTTAGATTCTCAAAAGAAACTGGAGATTATAGAAATTTATCATTACAAGACATTAAGGTTATTGCTCTTGCTGTACGCTATGTTAGAGAAAAATTACCATTTCTTGAACTTGCAAAACATCCTGGAGACTCAAGAAAAGTGATGAATGAACAAGAACGATTAAAAAAAATTCATGAAATGAAACAAACTAAGTCTAGTAAGAAAGAAGAAAAAGAAACACAGAAGAATGATGAAGAGCATAAATCATTAACATGGACTGTTCCTGTAAAAAGTGAGGAAGTTAAAGGAACGGAAGACCCAAGATTTCCAAAATTAGGGGAAATGTTAAATGCAAAAACAAGACCTAAAATTGTTACTCAATATGATTATGATCCAGAAGAAGAAGAGCATAAAGAAAAAGTTGATGTATTTGCAGAAACAGATAAAGAAAATGAAGAAGATAAAGGATATAATGATTATAATGATTATAATGAAATATTTGAAGAAGAAGAAATAGAAGAAGAAGAAAATGAAGAAGAAGACACAGAAGAAACATTAATAAAAGAAGAAGACAATAAAGAAGAAATAAAAGAAGAGGAGGATAAAGATATTGGTAAAGTTCGAATTGAACCAAATGAAGATAGTCAAAGAACAGAATTTATTGTTACTAAAGCACCAATTAAAAAAGAAAAAGAGGTTGAAGTTGATGAAGATGGGTTCATTAGTGTAAGTAAAGGCAAGAAAAAAGAAAATAAAAAGAAAGATGATGGGTTTGGAGAATGGATCACACCAACAAACTATCATCAATTAACAAAGAAAACAACATTTGAAAAAAACGCAATTAAACCATTACGTGTTGTTTGTATGACTTCTGATTATACAATGCAAAATGTAATGATGCAAATGGGAATTCGAGTGATGTCTGTTGAAGGAAAAATGATAAGAAAAATAATGAAATGGATGTTAAAATGCCTTATTTGTCAAGAACAAATTTTTGATATGACAAAAATGTTTTGTCCAAAATGTGGATATCATGATTTAAGACGTATTTCCTATTATGTATTAGCAAATGGATCAATTAAAGAAAACTTTAATGCAAATAAAACACTTAGTAAACGTGGTAGAATTTATAATGTTACTGTTCCTAAAGGAGGTAAAGATAAAGGAATTATATTGACTGAAGATGTTTACAATGAACGTATTAAAGCAGCAAAAAGAACAGCAAAAAAACATAGTAAAATTACTGATGGGTTTGGAGTTGCTACTCTTGCAGAGAAATCTGTAGTCATTGAGAATGGAAGAAAGAATCCTAATGTTGCAAGAAGAAAAATAGGAAAGAAAAATAAAAGACTTCAAAAAGATTATTAATATTATGTAAAATGTTATTGTTTCTTGTCAACACTCCTTTAAAAAAGAAGGATATTAACAACGATTTACTAAATTAGAATAACTACTTTTTAATTTATTTTTAATTTAATTTTATAATAAAAATCTTAGTAAAAGAAATAAATATTAACTGATTTCAGTTGTTCTAATTTATGCATTAAACAAACGCTGAAATTAGAATGCATATGGCATACCTGGGAGAGTACCTGAGAACCCATCAAAGAATTGGGCGAATGGGTCAACATAATAACGGCTTGCATAATATGTTAAATAATCATCAGTCAAAGAATATTCTATATCTTCAGTTTCATCAACATCTTCAATCTCTTCTTCATTTTCTTCTTCTTCCTCATCATCATCATCTTCTTCTCCTTCAAGAGCCTCAAGATCTTCATCAAGTTCAGCATCAAGGTCATCATCAAGGAACATATCTTCTTCATTATCACCAAGTTGATATTCTTCATAGTCATCATTATCAAATTCATTCATGTCTTCAATGTCTTCATTTTCTTCTTCATTTTCTTCTTCTTCCTCTATGTCATCCTCTACATTTTCTTCTTCTTCATTGTCTTCAATCTCATACTCATCATCATTTTCTTCATCGTTGTTTTCATATGCAACATCATTTAAAGCATACTCTTCTTGTGAGTCACTCTACAAACCAATAAATATTTTTCCTTTTGACTTTCAAAATTCCTTCTTTTATGTAATTGTGTTGTTTGTTATGATTCACGAAATAAACAACATAAATAATACTTTGACTTTTCACAGTATATCATTTTGATATTAAAAGGAATGTGCTTGATTATATAAGTAACAAAAACAAACAGTGAATAACTCAACATCTGCAGCATCAACTTCGTATGCATTGGCAGCAAAAAGAACCATTAGTAAAAACAAAAATGCCTTCATTATGATAATATAAAATATAATTTCTAAAATTCTTTTTCAGTTCTTTTTATTTTTTTTATAATTCTTTTTTATTATTTTTTGTTCTTGACTTTTCTTGTTTTTAATTTTCTCTTCTAAAATGAGATACATAGCATAAAATAATGAATTGAGTTTTATCTGATTTTCATCATTTCCTAACCTGTCAATTGCTTTGGAAAGAAATTACTTGGGTCATTCTTCATAACTTCTATGAGAACAATACTCTGAATTCATAGCATCTTCTTGTTTTTTCAATTCTAGTGCACTAATAAATCCAGGATAGTTCATTGTTAACCGCTGCTGATTTGATCTTTTTCTATTATTCATTTCTTCAAACTCATCTAGTTCACTAGGATAGTACTCTCCCCACTCTGATGCAATTTGGTTCATTTGCTCAACAGTGAGTTCAACTGAGCTTACTGAGATTGGAGATGCTGGTCGATACTCCATAAACCCAAATGGATTTTTTGTTGTTCTGTTTTTCCTCATTTCTGTTTCTCCTTATAAGTTTCTTTTAATGCTGTTGTCTCTTCATGCTGAGAGACAACTAAATTGGTTATGATGAGGAAGAGACAGACAGGATATAAAAAGTGTGTTATTAACATAAACAAGACTTGAAGAAAATGAAAAGGTGATGTTTTGTACTGTCAAAAGACATTTTTCGTTTTTGGACTAAAGGTTGTACCATTTGTTTTATTTATTACAGATGCTATTTCTTGAATAGTATTTTTTGTTTGATGAGGAATAGAAGTGGTTGTATGAACAAAATAGCTAACAACTAGACTATGTTGTTGTACTTGAACAATTAAAGAATGGACAATAATTTATATTATTTTTGGGTGTGGATGGTATTGGTTTATTAGTTGACTTATTTTGAATGGCTCTAGTCAACTAACATCTAAATTATGACAACAATTAGTTTATTGTGTATTGGTGATGATATTAGATGATTTTTATCAATAATAAAAAATAAGAGAGTTAATTATTGTTTAGATTCAAATATGAACATTATTCATGATAAAGCATAGTAAGTCATATTAGATGACATACAACAATGTTAAGCTTATTTATGACGAAGTCATTATATGGATTTGAGCAATAGTTATTAATGTTTTAAGAACTGCAACCATCATAACATGAATATGTTATGACAGAAAACATTAATATATGGGATAGTCAATTGAACAAGAATAATGAGTTAATACACACCAATTCTAACATAAATAAGCAGATTTATTGAAGTTATCAGTTGATTTATTCTTTTGAACAGAATAATTTCGTATCAAATTATATAAAAAAGAGTCTAGATAAATGAAATCAATTGTAGTTTGATGAAATTCAATGGAAGTGTCTCATTTCGTATGTATTGTTTAGTTACATCATTTCTTTTCATTGATTAATACTGAACAATATAATTTTATTTGACTTATATAATGTATTTTTCTTATAATGTTATTGGATTATAAGTTGATAATAACTAGATAATCTATTGAATATTTAATGATGAATATGCAATGGTAATTGACTAAACGAAAGATAACAACTATCTGTTATTTTCAAGAAAGAACCAAACAAAGAGGTTTAATATACTAATCTATGATTAAGTTGTCAGTCTTGTTTTAGTAAATATATTCTAATTAGTGTATTATTATATGGTTTTATTCTTTTATAATCCAAGAGAACAATATAGTTACTATTTATATTCAATATCCAGTACTTTATCATTATTATAAAAAGAAGTTAGAAACAAAAACACTTTATTTATCATATGTGTTAATTCAATTTTAATCATAAATAATATAACAACAATTAATAAAACTCAAGTCATTTGATTGTTTGAAAACTATGACCTTCAATAAAACAAAAAAAAAAACAAAACAAGAGGAGCTTCTCCCTGAGAATAATAACAGAAAGAGATGAAGTATGTTCATGATTATTTTATAAACTTAATAGTCTAAAGAGTTGTAAAGAAGTGTATACAATGAAAACAAAGAAAAATACTACTATGATAGAGTACTAATGACGGTATAATAAAGAGAAGAATTGTCACACTCATCAAACAAGTGACATGACAAGTTTTATTAATTATTTTATAATAAAATTATTTTACATAAAAAATACTATTCATTAAACTATAAATGATATAACTTTAATTCTCATTACCAAAAGAAGACTTTTTATTATACTAACAAATGAATATAATTTCTACCACTGATTTATTCAATATTATTCAATACCTGAAGAACGATGACATTATTTCACTTTCGTTGTCTTGTAAATCAATTAGAAGAGAAATAATGTCTCTGTCATTGAATTTAGTTAAAACAAGGTTTAAAAAAGAAACAAAACAAATAGAACCAATAATCAAACTACTTCCAAACAATTTCCATTTTGATTTCTTTGTTTTTATGACTTACAAATACAAAACAATGGACAATCAATTTGTTCTACTTCTTCAGACAAATTACAACCAATTCAAATACTTCATTCCATTGTTTACACAAAATGAATTATTTCATAAGACTATAAAACAATTTTATATTGAAGTAATAAATAAAGAAGAAATAAATAGCACAAGAAATACATTTATTGACTATGTTTATTCACATGCAATTCAATACCATGACATCAACCTGGTTTTTTTCCTACTTTCACACACTAGTTTGATTGATTCAGAATCATTAAATAGGACTATTCATCTGATACAGAATATTGGTATTGAAATAATTTTTCATTATATGAAGTACCATAATGTAACTAATGAGTCACAAGTCATTATTGTCAGAGTATTTCCATATATTGTTTCAGAACCAATAACTAAGTTTTATGTGAATGAGTTGATTCAATTATTAAAATCAAAGACAATGATAGTCAGGCAAGAAACTGAATGTTGTATCAAATTACTTATTCAAAGACATATGATTGACGCACAATCTATTCCACCATTGTTCAGAAGAGTCGTCATTAATAAAAATACTCAACCTCTTCAAAAGAAAGTTGAAAGAAAATTAGAAACACAAAAGAAAGTAATGAAAATTAAACAACCAGTGAATGAATTAAGAAATACACTTCATAACTTATTAAAAACCATTGACAATTGATTTGTGATTATAATTATATTATAATAAACAAGGAAGTATTTATTTGTTGTTTTATAAAAATAAATTATGGGATATTCTATATGGTGAATATTTAAATGATATTAGAAAAAAAAGAATCTAAATCATTTGACATATTTAATAGCAAATACATGCTGTTTTATTAAAGTATAAATGGTGTTATTATCTTATTAATATTTCTTATACTTAACATTCTTTTATTGAATCTATTTCATTTTCTATTTAAAACTTGGACTTTGTAAATAAAATATACAACAATTTCTCTCATTGAAAATACACCTAAAATGAATTAATAATAGCACCATATTAGTTGAATGATTATATCAAACATTAACTAATAAAATATCAAATTGGAGTGTTTAAATAATAGGCACAAAATAATTGGTATGATGTGTATGATTAGGTGTGGATATCGAAAGATGTATGAGTTAAACCCCCACTTCATGGATTGTTATTTTTATTAAAAACGTAATCAATTTGTCAGTATTTTATTTATTTCATTCCTCTTTACATTTTTATTTCACTTCATCACCACAAACATTCTCATTATTCCACTTCCTGCCAATTAATTTACTTGATAAATGCATGAATAACAAAAAAAAAACAAAAACAAAAATAAAATGAAAGGTAAGATAATATGATAAAAGAATTAAATTAACCATAAATAATGAATAAAATACAAAAGATGAAATGAAATAATTATTAAGAAATAAAATATGATTGTATTAATTATGAATGATAATATAGTCAGTATTTTGAAGCATTGAGAATGAGTAAATTGATTTAACACAAAACCATTCTATTTAAGCAATTTTTTCAATCCTACTTAAACATAAAAAACTAATAGAGAATGAGATTAAAAATGATGAAAATATATTTTTTATTTATTTTAATATAAACATAAAACAAAAAGTGAAATGGCAATTAAAAACAAGTAATATTTTGTTTTATGATTTATGTTGTATATGAATTATAAATGTTTTAAAATATTAAATTCACAAATATATACTGTATTGAGAAATATTAAGTATTGTTAATAACAAAATAAATAAAGAATAATTCTCTTTTTGGTTTTTATTATTACTTAATAATGCTGTAACAAAACATCATTTAATTTATTTATTGTAACATTTTATCACCACCAACTCATAAAATACTTATTTCATTGTATTTATTGATATAGTATTTTCAAATAATATAAATGATATTCAGAATAAAAATATATAAAATAATATAAACATATGAGACAGCACATTAAAAAGTATGATAAATTATCAATTTAATAATTGAAAATAATATGAACATGCATATTTGACTTTAGTTATTATTGTATTTAATAAGTATAATATTCATTATTTAATAATATTAAAAAAATTAAAAATATTATTAAGCTTATTAATATGAGAAATGATGAATATCAATTAACAACCAAAATAGATTTAATTATATTCTTTTATTCTATTTTTCTATTCTAGTTTCATTTCTAATATTATTCATTTAAAATATATGATATTTCGTTATCCAATTCATTTCTTGGTATATTCTTTTATTTATAATGTGTATTTGTATCAATTTGATATAATATTGATAATTTATATTTATTTATCATGTTTTGTTCAGCATAAAAATAAAATACTAAATACCAACAATAGACTAATTTCATAAATAATAATACATATTGAAATTATATATGAAATGATAATATTAATAAAATTTTAAAAGAATAAATAAACACATGATATGAAAGAGAAAAATAAATACAAATAGTACCTTGAAAAACAAGAATATCTACTAAGATTGAATAAATAATAATTAACTCAATGAATAATTAAAAAATAGTTAA